TCCTTGGACTTGTTCTAATCATAAAAACAAAACAAACCCCAGGACAACTCAAGAAACAAACAACAGTAACAAAAACCCCACAACTCACTTTCTTCTTTTCAAGGATGAGTATGGTAGTTCATGTCTGTAATTCTGGTACTGGAAAAATTGGGGGAGGGGAATTACAGTTCAAAGAGTCTATGCAATGAGTCTCAAAATTAAAAAAAAATTGACACATAACTCATTTGTTACAAAATCCAACCCTCTAAAGCGTGGAATCAGGGTTTTGGAGTAGTCTTGTAAATATACTAATCCAATGGCCTCCAATTCTGGATGTCCTATTTGTTTTTATCAGTGACAGACGGTGTTTACAAGGAGCTTGCAAAATCAAGGCTGATGGCCGATCCTTGGGATCTAAGCAGATGCAGGTAGAGGAAGCAAGGAAGAGATTATTAAACCCTTAACTGGTTCTACCGTTTGAGGACACCAAGCCACAGTCACTGTCGGCTTCAGGACAGAGACAATGGTCACCCTGCAGTGTCCACATAGCCCAACTTTGCGCTCCAGGGGGATGGCTCGCTCTCTGGCTTCTCGTGCAACAGGGCCATCTGATGCTAGCCAGAATGGCCAAGGTATTCTTTATTTCTTCCTGTCTATCTGCTTTGTACATGGGGTACACTGACCATTGCAGGACCTCACTTAATGAAGCACATCCGTTTGAAGAAGGGCTCTCCTGACTCCTGGCAGCAGGAGGTGAGCTTCATGAAAAAGGCCACTACTGCCCCTTAGTCTCCCTGCTCCAGTTGCCAGGCTTTGGACTCTCTCTCTCTCTCTCTCTCTCTCTCTCTCTCTCCTCTCTCTCTCTCTCTCTCTCTCTCTCTCTCTCTCTCTCTCTCTCTCTCTCTCTCTCTCTCTCTCTCTCTCTCTCTGGTCTTCTAAAACTCTTGACAACCTAGGGAGGGTATCTTCAGAGCAAACAGATGCTGGCTTCTCCCCCCTGTTCATTATAGTGGGACTATCTGCCTCTGCTTCTAGAAGCTATACTGATGGCTTCTAAGGATCCCGGACTCATCACCTGCCTAGTAGAGGCTTTTTTTCTCCCTCATACTCCCATCTCTCTTTCAAATTCTTCAGAAGTTTCGCTAGTGGTTTAATCATTATTCCAAAAAGGAGCTATCTAGGATCCCCCTCCCATGATGCCTCCTTCTCTGAACCACAACTGAGAGGCTATGGAGACATATACGACACTCTGGTTGACTCTGCAGCCAGCATGCCACTGTACTTCCTCCACCCCAGACCCTTTGCCATGAGGGCCTTGCTCCAGTTCACAGAACATACCACAGGGATAATTCCAGTTGCAGAGGTGGTGGCCTGAGTGGGAATGGTCCCCATAGGCTCAAGTATGTAAATGCTTTGTCCCCAGCTGTGATGGAAATGTTTGGGGAGGATTGGGAGGTGTGGCCTTGTTAGAAGGGGCATGCCACTGGAAGCAGGGTTTGAAGTTTCAAAAGCCCACACAAATTCTAAACAGCTTACTCTACGCCTTGTGCGATATAAGCTCTGAGCTATCGCTCTAGCACCTTGCATGCCCCCCCCCCCCGCCACTATGTCCCTGTTATGATGGTTATGTACTAACCCTCTAGAACTGTAAGTCCCTGCCTAATAACTCTTCTTATAAGTTGCCTTGGTCATGGTGTTTTGTCACAGCAACAGAGAAGTAACCAAGACAGGGGGGCCTCACGGTGGGGAGCTCAATGCACTGCCTACATCCCTTTCAGAAACAGCTCCCACCCCTCTGGCTGCCCCTATGGAAGTGGTCCTGGCCCTGCTGAGCCGCAATAAGAATAAGATCTACCTCACATGAAAGTGTTTTCTGTTCCCCTTAAAGTCCCTCTGACCTAAAGAGCACACTGCTACTAAGAGCTTACAATTGTGTAAGCCTCTCAAGTAGTGGACCCATTGCAGAGGACTGGAGTTCAGTCCCCAGCACCTCCCAGTTGGGAGGCTCACAATTGTCTGTAACTCCGGCTCCAGGAGGATCTGATGTCTCCGGCCACAAGTGGGCGCCAGCACACATGTGTACGTAGTTATCCACAGACACGCATTCAGACAGATAATTCAAAGGAAGCAACTCACCACATCCAGCCCCCATTGCCAAGGCATATGTCTACGCTGATACATGGTTTAGCTGCCTATTGCCTCTAAATTGAACCAATAGAGAGAAAAGCAGCAAAGCACACAGAGACACCTGGAGAGGTAAACAAGATTAGGACATGTGGCAGACCTCTGCGTGGATGAAGATGCTAGGTCCCAGTTTTGAGAATGCCTATTCCGGCGGGGAGGTACCACTCAGTGCTAGGCGCAGTGATGTGTCATGGGGTCTGCAGCTATCAGACCCCAATTCCAGTCATTCTGTAGGGTGGCAGAAGGCCAAAGACTCCCGCAGGCATCCTAAGGTGAGTCGCAGAGACACCAGGAGGATGCAGCTCGCCACTTCCCTTCTCATGACAAACGGCAAGATCTGAGTTTTCTGTAGATGCTGGCTGTGTTCCTGGTTGCCACAGCTGATTCTCTCTGTCATCTCTCTTGGTGGTACTTTCTCAGTATGGATTACACTTTAAATGCTAACCTGCAGTACAGAACTGCCAAGTATCTAGGTTTGGTACCTAACAAGGCCACTAGGGAGGGTCACCTACTAGGAGAACTGGCATTCGACGTGGTAATGTTTCATAGCCTATCTGTGAATGCCAGAATCACCATAGTTCCCAAGAGAGACACAGAAGTCCCCTGCTTTTAGATAATGAAGTCTTTTAGCCACATCATTACTTGCTGTCTCATGAACACCTATCTCTACCATCTGGGGGATCTCTAACGGGGTACTCCCCCCCACCCCGGGTGAGAAATGGGCTGTTGTATTTCTGGCTGGTTCCTTGTCTAGCACATACTTCAGCTGTGTGCATCTGCTACCTTGAACCACAGTCTGACTGTGGTGACCAAGATGCTTCATCTCAGTAAACACAGGCAGCTGCCGCTAGTCCTTCCATGCTAGTCTTTCGTGGGTTTCGCCGTGTGGATGTGCTTCCTTCTACCCTGGCCCCAGTCCTCACAGGCATACTTCTGTCCCTTTAATCATCTTTATTGCCTTCTCTTTGGATGCTGGCCCGGTCCACATCCTTTGTGAGATGCATTGACCCAGCCGGAGCATTCGCTCTCACGAGTACGGGTAAGTAGACGTCCAGCTTCCTGGTCCTCCCGTGCTATGCACGCTCCCTCCTGACATTCCAGGGTCACGTTGTTGTTTCCGGAGGCCTGCCCCATCTAGGAGACTCCTGTGGAGCATGGTGACCTGGCCCAAAAAGTGGCATGTGGGCTGACCTGGATGCCAGTGCCTTGGCCCAGAGAAGCCTCATATGTAGGCTTGGACAGTCTTGGCATCTTTGAGACACACACTGGGCAGGAGGGACAGAAAACCTTCTGCTCCCCCTGACTCCTTCCTGGTACCATTTCTCCTTTGAGAGGGGCTCCCCATTTCTTTCCTCTACCCAGAGCCCAGAACCCAATAACTGTCATGTGTCATGATACGGGCAGAGAGGTGGCACAGGCCGGGAACCCACTGTATCCTGGTCAGGGCAGGGGCAGGGCTTGGTTTGGCTCTCCTGGCTCGGTTTCCTCTTCTGATGTCTGTTGATTCCCAGGCCTTAGCCAGGACAGCAGCCTCCCAGTTCGTTGGAACCTCATTCCCCTGTGAATGCTTTCAGAAACCAAAAACCCACTACTGGAAGGCAGGCACTCTGGGCATCCATCTTCTGCCTACCTACTATTCCTGGTTCGGGATTTCCATGAAGAGTAAGGGGTTGGAGATCCAGTTTGGCCCGAGCCCAGCACCTCCAGCTGTGGCCACACAGCGCTGAGGGCAGGTGCTCCTAATTTTCTGACTAGAGGATGTTAGTTGGCTGTCTCTTGTCTCTTAAAGAACATTCTCCACGCATTAAAGGCAAAAATCACAAGCCATCACCGTTGTCTAAGAATAAATTTTCCCTATAGGGAAACACCTCATTTTAATTCCTCAAGCATAAGTCTTTTTGTTCTTTTTTCTTCTTTTTTTTTTTTTTAGATTTTCATCCAGAAATATTTTTTGCACATCCAAGCAAAAAAGGAAAAGAATCCCACTCCCCCTTTAGCACAAATGGCTGCACACAGTATGATTCTGCACCTGGAAATTTTCATTTAAACTATATTGAGAAGACCTTTCCACGTAAGAATGCCTTGTAGAACACACACACACACACACTCACACACACAGACACACGCTCACTCACACACACTCACACACACTCACACTCTCACACACACTCTCACACACGCACACACACTCACGCATACACTCACACACTCACACACCACACAGCAACACTCACGCACACACTCACACACACTCATACACACACCACACACTCACGCACACACTCACACACACACTCACTCTCACACACACACACACACATTCACACACTTCTTGGAGGTTCGATCTTGGTTGCCTGCTCCAATGCATGCCGCCTCATCACGCTTTTCCTGTCTCTTGGTTGCCACTACTCAGGTCTGTGACGTTCACTGCAAAGTGTGGCGCATACACAGGACACAGAAAGAGGAGGTGGCTTTGAATTTGTGATGGAGACAGAAAGAGGAATTTGTGAGCCTGGGGAGCCTCCTGGAGGCCATGCCTCTAAACATGCAGCCCTTGGGCTCCATTCTTTGAGGGCATGCTGCAGTTTTGGTTGGTGGGAAGAGCATTTCTGCAAATCCTGGGCAATGCTGACTCCCAGCGAGGAGTGGAGATGGTGGCCCGATCCCTGGATCAACCACACAAAAGCAGTGCTACATAACCAAGCCCGTTGTACTGCCAATGTCACCTTAAAGCTGCCCATCTTGTCCATAGCTCCATCTCACAGCATAGCCAGAGCTAACCTGCCCAGCCTGGACCAGCGCAGGAACGAGGGACAGGTTCACTACCGCCTTCCTACCTTCGGTCGTTTCTCCTCCTCCGGAACAGCTTCTTGGTGTGTGCGATCTCCACTTCCTGGGGCATCTGGTGGTAGCCCTGTGACATGGAGAGAGGGGGGACCATGAATCATTTCGTCCATGACCCCATTAACCACGACAACACCTCTAGAGAAGGATGTGAGAGGCCGGATGGACCCTGACCACCAAATCAGACCAGAGAATGGAAATCATCAGAGTGAATGAATCTCCCACCTAGGATAGATGCTAAGGTTCCTTCTCAATTAGGAGCTGGTTCTGTGAAAATCGACCAGGGGCCTTCTCTGCGGAGTCCCAAGCCAGAGAGCTGAACATTCCCCTTTACCTAGAAGGGGCAGGCACATAGCCAATGGCTTTGGAAGGGGACAAGTTCTTTTTCCAGTCTCCAGTTAAAAATGTCACCACCTTCTGTGTAGGTCATTGAGAGAGCTGGGGAGCCAGAGGGCCCAGTCTTGAGCACAAGCTGACTCCCAATCCTAGGCCCAAATCCTCCATGCAATATTAGGAAGTATTTAGGGGAAACCAACTGTCTTCTAGACTTCAAAGGAGGGCCTGGGGAAAATTCTAAGGGTGGCCTTTGTGTTCTGTTCCTTACAGACTGACGTCAAGGTTGGGGTGAGAACTGCTTACATACAATGCCAGTCCTACCAAATGCCAGGCCCAGCCAGGCAGAATTATTTGCAGAAGCTGGTCTGCACACCTGACAGGCAAATGTGTCCATGTGGGGTTATGTCCAGGAGAACTGTCATTCTGTCCTGGGAAGCTGGAGTGGGGTAGCCAGGATGTAGGATTGGCTATCCAAGGAGAAGAGTCCCCTCCTGCGGCCTGGTGTACCTAAGATACCCACATGTTCTCATATTGTGTGGTATTAAGGAGGTGATGGAGAAGCCACAGGTCCAGGAATGATAGAGTGGCAAGAGGGTCCACTGGGCCCCAAGCCCCACTTGGCGGTATAGGAGATCAAGGCCCAGAGAGGTCAAACAGCGAGAGAGGCTGCAGAGCCCTTCAGTGTGACACTCCAGGGCCTGCCTCCCTCAGTCTGCCTCCATAGGGCAAGGTGCAGGACGCTGGCAGCCTTGGCCAGTTTGCTGGAGCGTCCCAGAGAGGTGATGGGAGGACAATGGGGCAGGCAGACATGGCATCTTGGAGTTATGATTATTTGGCTCAGACTTCTATTAAGTCCAGGGAGCAAAAGCCATTTCAAACTATTGTAACGATGACCCTTCCCTCCCACTCCGGGTCTTTCTAGCCTCCAACAATCCAGCCAAAAATGTGTGAATGGATTCCAGGCTCCAGCCAGCCACAATGGGCCGCTGGGACCTTCAGGATATGCTTTGTTTAATGGGTTTTTCAAAGGGTATTATTTGTTTTCTTTAATATAAAACACAAATAAGGAAAAACACCAAGTCTCCCCCTCTCGCTTCCCCTCTCCCACCCTGACCAGGTTCAGGCCGGCTCCTCCCCGCTTTTTCTTCCCTCCCTCCCTTCCTGACTCACTCTAGGCCTCTCCAGGTCACTGTTGGAACACACTGGGCGTGCCCCCAACAGACAATGGCCGGGAAGCTGAGACTCCCTCCCAAGCTGGTCCTGAGCTGGCAGCAGGCCAAGCCCTCAGCTCTGGGCTGACAGATGGAGCTGCCCATGGTGGTTAACATGAGCCAGGAGGTGCCAACCTCTTCAGTCCTGCCACAGAGTTCTGGGACCTAAGGCATATAAAGGCCATTCCCCACACAGGCAGCGGCGGCTGTGGGGAGATGTGCCCTGGTTCATACCCAGGCAGGACTAAAGTAGGAGACCATCCATCCCCAAGGAAAAGTCTCCCTCAGCCACTTCATCCTAGGAACAGCTCTGGGAGAGCGGCATGGCCCAGAGAGAGGCTCCCAGGGACAGAAGTAACCACCAGGGAGCCTGGAAGGAGTGTTGGTCATTCTGGCATCCTGGTCAGGGCAGAGGGAGTTCTGGCTTCAAACGGGAGATGCGTCTGCTTTTCAGAAAAGATCTGCTCCGTACGGGAGAGTGAGCTGTGCCAGGCTCTCAGAGCATCCCTGAGAACACCCATGGGCTTGGTGCTAACAGCTTGCTCAGCACACCTGCCTGCTCCTCTCCAAGCAAGAGGACGGTCCTTCAGGTCTCTCAGGTGACTCTTCATGTGTGCGGCCAGATGGCTGCAGGTGTCGCCCTGGACATACACCGCCACTAGGTTTTGCCTACTCTTCCTCAACTCCTCTCTGGGGACAATGCTCCCTTTGGCTTTAGGACCTGGCTACATTGACCTGTATGGGCCTTGGAGACACACAGCTCACAGAGATCGGGTTTCTCTAGGGAAGGAGGGAGGGCAGACGGTCGGAGAATCCCTGCCCACACAGTGCTGGCAGAGCACATGTAAGACATGAACATGCATCTTTACAAACATACACATCCCTGTGCTGGAAGTCAGTGCAAGAATGAGATGCTCCCTAAGTGCATTATCTTTGTGGCTGCAAAAGCATGTTCTATAAAACCAGCCCACTCTGGAGTAGGCTTGGTCAGTGGAAAAATGACACAAGTAGTGGTTAGTTTTCATGGTCAACTATTCACCTGGAAAAGGGTAACCTCAATTAAAGAATTGCCCCCAGGAGAATGACGGGTAGCCATGCCTGTGCGAGGCCGTCTTGACTGACGGTTGGTGTGGGAGGGTCCAGGCCACCGTGGGGGGCACCATCTCTTGTCAGGTGGGATTAGACCATATAAGAAAGCTAGCAGAGGGCAGCACACCAGTAAGCAATGTTCTTCCGTGGTCTCTGCTTCGGCCCCTGTCCTGACTTCCCTCAGAGAGGGACGATTGTATAGAAGCATAAGCTGAAATGCTTTGCTCCCCAAGCTGTTGTTAGTCATGGTGTTTATCACAGCAACAGAAATCAAATTAAATCATCAAGTAAGGTGGGTGTCTCTGGGGGATTAAAGATGCGTCCAGCACTTCAGCCCCAGAGCGAACAAGCCTAGGTTGGGATGCAGGGGCCATGCCCTGAACCAATGGCTATGAAGAAATCTATCTGTAGGTGGGGATTGGGGGCAGAGCACACAGTCTGAGTCAAGAGCAGGTGGGCTGGAGGCTCTGGAAGGTTGCCCCCTGCCGGCCACCCGTGTGCTACGATGCTCGTGCATACCCACACAAAGGCACACATTGACAATGTAATAGATACAGAAAAGTTTATCGTTTCACAAGGATCATTCCTGTTCTGTTTATTCTTCCCTATATGAAAGTCTATTTCTTTAATTTTCTTCCATTTATACTGGAATAGTAGTCCCCAACATTTTAAATCTCATATTCCAGAAAAATCTGAAAGCTAGGGAGTAGTTTCAACTTTACCACAAGGGTACCTTTGAGGGCGTAATTTTGAAATAAAGATGGCCGTTTCCAAGTACTAAGAGTGGCCTCTATAGGAAGAATGTTCTTAACAATGTCTTGGTCAAGTATGTGCCTAACTCAAACTTCTCTACAGGGACTTGGAAGAAACAGCACACAGGTCTTTCATGGGTTTCCATATCTTGTAGCAGCGTGTACACTCTCACACATTAGCACTGCACTGTAAACAATCTAAGGGCTTTCAGGAGCCATTTTGACCATCAGTCACCATTTTTACTTGGATCTAAGCTCCAAGCCATTGTGAAGCTGCTAGCTCTCTCAGACTGTAGAAGGCCTGAAGAAAATTTCTCTGTTTGGGTTGGCCTTATTGTCAACCTTTTCTTGGAAGGAAAATCAAGTACACACATTTACTCAGACACACACTCTTCTGGCTCATGGCATTTAGTTAAGACCACCAGTGCTGGGTACAATTTTTAGGTAATTAATTCTCCTCCTGTGGTCCCCTCCCCACATAGGCTGATGGTTCTCCTCATTGACAAGGTTTTCGGGGGGGGGGACTCTGCTCCTTCCTTCCTTCCTCTCTCTTTCATCCGCCCTCCCCCCTCCCCCGCCTTTCTGAGACAGGGTTTCTCTGTGTAACAGCCCTGGCTGTCCTGGAACTTGCTTTGTAGACCAAGCTGGCCTCGAGCTCACAGAGATCTACCTGCCTCTGCCTCCCGAGTGCTGGGACTAAAGGTATACTACTATACCCTGTTTCCTTCCTTTTCCCCCCTCCTGATAGCTAAGTTTTCTGCAGGTTTGACTTTGGGAGGAGGACATTTTCTGGTGTGACCATCTGGCACCTGGCTTTAGAAGCTTGGAGTTTGATCTGCAAGGCCAGAGTGTACACCCTGAGCTTGAGGGATGGGACCAGGCAGCAGGTAGAGGGCCCTGGGGAAGCCACTGGGCTGGCAGGGCTGGCATGCCCTGCTGCCACGCAGCTTTTCCAGCCGGGGGAGTGATGACACTCATTGGAGGATGTGACTTTCAGATTCCCACTGTACCACCCATAGGTCACAGCTCGGGGACAGTCCACCCAGGAGGAAAGCTGCTTTCACCCCACTGGCTTTGACAGCCACTCCAACCTCTATTTATGGCAACACGGCAGAAGGGAGCTGGGCTGCGGCCAGGATGCAGCATTGCCTGCCATGGGGTTTGGAGGAGCTTGAGAGCAGTGAGCCATGGAATCTCCAAGGACTTCCACACCTCTCTGCCAGTGCCCCTCCCTTTCTTGACTTGCAGCATCGTCCCAGCTCTGCTCTGCTTACAGGGTCCAGCCTCCCCCCCACCCCAGCACAGGGTTTCTGCCCTGCAAAGCTGGCTGTACTTCCCACAACAATGAATCCATGTGGCCACAGCAATGGGAGAGATGTCCTAACACTCCATCTCTGGTCCAAACAGTCCAGGTGACTGCCTGCATGTACAGCATGCCCCACAAAGCTGTATAGACTTTCAGGAGCTCAGGGCCAGGTCTCCTTTACCTGCATGCTCACAGAGTCTGCACAGGGCCTTAGACACTGTGGACCTCCATAACTGTTCTTGGAAAGAAGTTAAGACAATGGATCACTCTCGATGAGCCAGATTTGGGCCATCCTAGTCTACCCAGTGTGGGCTAAGAGCACTTACAATGTGGACCCAGGGACCCAGGAGCCCACCGTCTGTGGCTTGCAAGTATG